TGAATACTATTTGTACATACCTGTCGCTAAATTGAGAATGAATGGCAAAATTAGCATTGAAGCAAAAAACTTACATGGAAAAGCTGAATGTTCAGCAGATTTGTGTGTCAATGGTTGGTTAAAGTTCATCTACTGCTTTAAATTTTTAACATTTCACAACATAGTAAATGTATATAATATGTAATTCATTTTTTTTTTGTCTTTAATCTATTAAATAATTTAATCGTTATAAATATTTTTAGCGATATTTATTTAATACCTTAACTTAAAACTAGTACGAAAACTTTTTAATTACATTTTTAGAAGAAATAAGCAGCCCGTCTTTCACTTCTGATCTTGAAAATATTGAAATAAAGCTGGGGGAAAGTGCCAAATTTACCTGCAGAGTGACAGGAAAGCCAACACCTAATCTGCAGTGGTCAGTTTATGAAAAAAAAATTATTATCAATATTAAAAAATTGAAAGTAGACTTATATCTATTTATTCCATTCATTCGTCGTTCGTTTGTTTGTTCGTTCAAATTCACTCCTAAAAATTTTTCGGATGAAATTTACATTACTTACGAAAATTTAGTTTAAAACAGTGCATTACATATCGCAATGATACAACTTACCAAACTATACACATACAAAACGGTATAATTCAATGAACAAATTCATCAACAAAACTAGCTTTTCACAAACAGTACCTTATCTACATAAAAAATATCAATGATAAAACATCTAAGAATTGTAAGAATGAATTCATGCTCAATCTATTTAATTATTTAACAACAATTTACTTAAAAAATGAAGAAATTTTAAATCGGTCAAGTTTTAATTTTTGAGACTACTGCTGATAGCAAAACTGTCTTTTGTAAATTACTTGATTAAATCTGTTTTTAATTAAGGCCAATATTTAGATTGAAATGTTCTACCAACGTTTTAACAATATAATTTTAAAAAAAGTAAATTTAACTGCTGTTAGAAGAAATGGCTTCAATTGTTAATTTAATGTTAAGTAGGATGAATTCCAATTGCTCGTTTCTGAATATTTATTAGCGAGTGTCATTGTTCTATGAGTATTGATTCGACTAGTCGTAAATTATAATGGATGTTATTGTAATGTAAGATTTCAACATTGTGGTTCAAGATTTGTCTAGTAATTTTAGTTTTGTGTTTCTCTTTCATGTGATTCTTTATTTGAAATAATGGTGCCACACTTACCAATATTACTTTTGAACAAATATATTAGATGGCTATGATCCATTATCAAGTCTGGTTTACTAGTGCAGTTGTTTTTAAACACAAGAGATGACGTTCTTTGGTTGGAGTAGTACATTTGTAGTTTAATTCTATCGTTTTCGTTAATTAGCTTGGACGTAATTTTTTATGATTCTTTTCATGATTTTTTTATCCCGTTCGAATGTGGTTGACATGTGATTCTTATAATATATTGCTATTTGTTCTTTGCGTTCTATTATTTTCTGAATCATGGAATTTTTGTATCCATTATTTATGAGTAGTTAAGTGATTCTATCTAGTTCTGTTATCTAGTTATGTTGCTTATATCAGAAGAGTGCGTGTAGGCTCGGTTTACAAAAGCAGAAATCGTGCTCTACAGATTTTTTGACAACATCCACTATTGCCATTGAGGCAAAAACCTTTGTTTGTTGCTTTGGTGTATACTGAGGTTTTAAATTCATTTTGCACATTTTGTATTAGTACGTCTATGAATGGTAGTTAATTATCAGTTGGTTTTTCCATTGTGAACTTCAATTTTGACACTAATTTCATTTTACTTAGACCAAAGGTATTAACAAATCATATCAGGCGGCGCGATGGTATAATGGCTAAAGTGCCTGGCATTGTTGATACAGTGTCCGGGGTGGAATGCAAAAAGATCTCCGCCTATCACATGCAAAAGTGTGTGATGAGTTGATTCACGTGTATTTATGCACCGTGTGTTTGTCGTAATAATGATAATGCGCTTCAGTCACTTGCCATGGCGCTATATAAAATGAAATCCATATTAATGCTCAAATTCCATTAAAAAAAACGTTGTTAATAAAGTTAACCCTATCTTGGTCTAATCACATCCTATTTATCTTAAAAAAATTACAAAATATTTAGCTTTGATTTATCGGATATGACTTGTGAAGGACTTAATATTATACGATTAATTTTTATGTTACATAGTTAGTTATATTTTTAAACCGTTTCAAATAATGTAACGTTTTTATTTAGTTAATTTTCTATTGTTGTTTATTTTCTTTTTTAGCCTTTAACATTTTTTTCATTTATATCGTTTTGGATAATATAGATTGTGTTCTGTTTTGGGTGACTATACAATCTCTTGGGGCTTCTGGATCTCCCTGCTTTTATGCAAAATAAAATCTTTTTTGAATTTAATATAAGAAATATCACCGCATTTTTGGCTTTAATCTGTTTCTGGTACCATAAATTATATATATATATATATATATAACGCCAAACATTCGGTTGAATTTATTGAATATTGTAATATATAACGCCAAACATTTGGTTGAATTTATTGAATATTGTAATATATATATATATATATATATATATATATATATATATATATATATATATCAACTGATCTTATAATTTGGCGGAAAAAATTGATGGCCAAGAAAGCAACGTCCTAACTCCGGGAACGTCTCTGAACGCTAAACAAAGATTGATCGAATCGATTGATATATAAGAAGCTTTCAGCCGAATGCATGTTTCAAATCAGGAAAATCAATCAAACTCGACGATCCCTAGATACATCCACGTTGCAGACGTTGGTTCATGCATTTGTGCACTTGCGCGTCGACTAATGCAACAGATGTTTTATGACTTACCTGATCGATCCTTGGCTGTACTTCAATCAATTCAGAATGGAGCTTTAAAATACGACAATGTGTCTCCAATATTGAAGAAACTTCATTGGCTAACCGTCGACAAAAGAGTGTTGTTCAAAATTTCAACACTTGTCTACAAGTCTATCAACTGTCTAGCTCCATCTTATTTGTCTGACAGGTTCAAAAAGAGATCTTCAAAAGCATCTGGAGCACACTTGAGATCCGATGTTTCAATATTGCTGTTGGTCCCAACAAAGAGTTTCCGTAAAGGCTTTCGTAATATTGCTGTTTCTGGACCAACTGTTTGGAACAACCTGCCTGCTTCTTAATGTGTTGTTTCATTGACAAACCTGAATCAATCATGAAGCCCAGATTAGCTGCTGTCTGACAAAATGGGATGACCTCATCATTAACAGTTATTGAATTTATATCTATTTTTGAAAATTGCTGCCATGTTCCAATTAGTAAAAAACAGTCTTGTTTTGGTTTAGTTTTAAACCATTGTTTTGCATCCACTTATTGACCCCAGACAAACATTCAACTAATTTGTCCAATTCTGATTTAAAAGAATCTGGTCAATATTTCCCTATATATACAACAAGGAGCACTGACGATGATTTATTCGGAATCGAAATATGGCCTTATTTGCAGCATGAATTCGAAAAATAAGTTTATTTTGAATTTTAATAAACTAAACGTTCACCAAAAAACTTTAGTGAGAAAAATCGAAAAAACGAACTACAAACATATTAACGCCAAACATTCGGTAGAATTTATAGAATATTTTAATATATATATATATATATATATATATATACTGTGTAAATATATATAAATATATATATATATATACTGTGTAAATATATATAAATATATATATATATATATATATATATATATATATACAGTATTGTTGTCGAATATTAGATTTATTGTTATTATTAGTATTATAATTAATAGTTATAAAATAGTCAATGTTGTTGAGGCCTTGCTACTCGGTTAATAGAATATTTTTAATTTTTTTAGTGACCGGGATTTTTCATTTGAAATAAAATTGTACGGAATCCAAAGTTATAGCCTTCACAATAAATCCGCTATTGGCCAAAAATAAACATATAGTGGTAGATTTAGAGAGGAGGGGGGTGGCGGAGGGAGCAATATCAAAAAGTAGCGTTTTTGACGAAAAATGTTGATTGATAAGCCTAACAAAACCGGTCGTCAGCGTAACCTAGAAATGTTTTCAAAAATTCTCCCCAGTAAATCCTGATATATGTTCGAAATTTTCCTCTTTCTGATCAGCGACGTTTAAACATTTTCAAATATATATATTCACAATTTCACAATTCACAATTCGTTTATTTATCAAACCAGTAAAGATTTGACCTGGAAGATTAAAAATCTTGTATAAGCCACCAGTTCAGAGTATACGAAAAATTGGAAAAGGGTATATTATATATAATATATATAGTTCTGATTATGTCAAACATGATAACAGAAAACCGTTAGATTGAAATTCAATAAAAAAAATACATAAAAAAAACAAAAATAAAAGGAAAAGAACGACTCTTGATATAATACATAAATATAAGATAACACCAAAATAATAACACTTAATAACTTGCAGTAGAAAAAAATTGCATGAAATAAACTGTTTCAATTCTTCAAATATATTAAGTAATGTATACCTACATATATATATATATATACATATATATATAACAATAAAATCCAACTCTACAAAACTTTTACGTCCATTACCTTCAGCTGGCAACAATTTTTTTTTAAAGTTTTTCTAGAGCTTCGCTTTTCTTTTTTTCAGAGTTCTAGCCCTGACATTAATACTTTTCATCAAATTTATATGAAATTATAAAGTTAAGTAAATGACGACTTAATGTGCACGATTAAAAGACCGTTTTCTTTATTTTCGGAATTATTGTTATGAATTCATTGCATCATATTCATTGCAAATATAATATTATGCTGAGTTCCAAGATCAGTTCTATTGAAATCAATCAGATATTCAATGTAATTTCTAAACCTCTATATACAAATAAAATATATTCATCAGGTTCAAAGACGGTTGCCTTTTGAACATTTCGGGAAATATAAAGTTAATATGGGCTGACCCTTACACATCTGTTTTGACCATTAGTCACGTCAGAAAAGAAGATGCGGGAGTTTACGAATGTAAAGCTACCAACAAAATCGGTTCCACTTTTTCGAAAGCTTGCCTTTTTATAACAGGTACTTATAATATAATAAAAAAAACTGACGATTTTATTAAATACCACTTGGATGATAAGAAAACTTATTTCACCTAATTTACTTAATAGGTACGGAAGTTATTTATTATTATTATACAACCAGATTATAAAAAATGACCTTAAAAAATATATAGATGTTGATCTATGTTTATATCATTAAATATCATTAAGATGGTTTTGATGTTGTTAGGGTACTATAATTGACGAAAGGTATAAAACAACTAAAAATTAAGCATAGTTTGAGTGTTGAATTAAGTGAAGTTATCATGATAATTTTATTATAATAATTTTGAATCATGTTATTTACGTTGAAAAGAGAATAAAGTGCATTTGAAGTAGTTTGAATAATTTTTGGTTTATATTATTACTTTTGTAGTGTTTTTCTTTATAACAATTTTAATTTTCTTATCGTTATATTTATGTCTTGTCATTTATGTTATGTATTATTGCGAATGTAAGGCTGCAGAGTGATGATATTAAACAACGATGTGTAATGAAAAATACGATGAGTTGATACATGACGTTCCGTTATGTTAGTTGATAAATGTTGAAACTTCTCTCTGCTTTGTTGCGATGAAACTTATCATTTTATAAAACTCAACTTTTTCAAATATGTGTTATTCAAAAATAAAACGTTATAAAAGATTTAGACGACAAGCATCGAAAGTTGAAACCAGAATTTTTGACTGATTTGTATGATCAAACAATTGCATCGAAGACTGAACTGCACGTTTCACTTCGAATTGTTGGATATCCAGTGCCAAATGTAAAATGGTTGTTCAATGGCCACGAAATTTCAGATGAAAATATAAAGATAAAAGTTCAAAGCCATTTGACCATCTTACATATTTTACATTCGCTGCCCAAACACTCTGGACAATACACATGTCGTCTAGAAAACGATTTAGGAAGGTTGTATTATATTTTTATTTTTTACACTGTATAATGCTTGAAAATAATAATTAAAGAAACTTAACTTTATATTGGATAAAATTGTTTTGTTAACAGAACTGAGGCCACTACCAACATCCTTGTAGCTACAAGACCACTGTTTACAAGGAAATTTGTTGATGAAGATAAAACAATTGGGGAAAACGTGAAACTAACGTGCTTTTTCGAAGGACATCCTCGTCCTAAAGTAGATTGGTACTATAATAACTGTTTGATCACGGTCAGTTTTTACAATATTTATTACAACAACAACAATATATTTTGTCTATTGGTTTAGTTCTTTTACACGTTTATATTTAAAATAAAACACTGTTTTTAACCAAAATCCACGGTCTCGTGACAGGGGAGAGTTCACTGTTCTAAATTTAATTTGAGACACGTTTTTTAATATGCTTTAATATAATGCAACCAAAAAATTTTAAACAGTGCAATTTCATATGATGATTCTAGTTGTAGCAGTCACGTGGCTTGTTTCAATGCACGCACCATGCAAGCATGCACGCACTCGACTATGGCTAGTTATATCTGCCGCAACTCATGAAATAATGACGTTGGCTTCTTAGTTCAAAAAGAAATAAAACGCTATCCACCATGCTCAAGCCTATTTTTTGTTTGTTGAAATGTATGGTTAGTTTGAATTATTTGTTACTGAAGCTACATACAGCTTAAAATTAGTTAATACTAATCAGCGTTGTAACGTCTAACGTTATTTTACTTGGACCAAAAATTAGAACTAATATTGTTAACGTTCAACTTTCATTAAATAACACTTGCATTAATAGGGTTCAATCGACTAAATTTTTAGGTGTTATTATAACAAGCAATTTATCATGGACTATGCTTATCAAACTATGTGAAATTTATTACAGTTCATTGCAGATTTTTGTTATTGAGTTATGAATTTTATATTTTAATGTATTTTATGCTAAATACAGAATTGCGAAAGAAAAAAAATTGAAGAAACGCATAATGGCGGGTGCCTTAAAATAAAATCTATCACAAAACATGATGCAGGTCAATTTGAATTTAATAATTTCAATTCTCAATTCAATTTTACTGTTAATTTCCTCAATGGATCAGAATTTTACATGTTCCATTGATTGCTTTAATCTGTTTGCTTCTCTTTTAGTAATTATTTATTCATTTGAATTTTTAGTTTTTGAATTTTTTCTAATTTTACATTTTTATTTAATAGTTTTTATTATAAATTTTTTGCGACTTTTCACTGTAGAATCTTAATTATTTTACAAATTTTGAATCTAATTTATTTAATGATTATTTTATTTCAGGTTTATATGCCTGCGTGTTAAAAAATATGGCAGGAGAAGCTGTTTGCATGGCCAAATTAAACATTCATGGAACTCTAAAGTTGTTTATTTTAATTTGTGACTGATTTGTGACAAAAAGCTATTGATATACTAATTAATGACGTTATTCACAGGCCGAAATTGGAAGCAGACAATGTGGCACCTAATTTTACAAGAAGACTCCAAAATATTTATGCTACAAAAGGCTCGCAGGCCAGATTTGTGTGCAGTGCTTTTGGTCGTCCTCGCCCTCATTCCAAATGGTTATTGTACTTTTTTGAACGATAAAATTTGGCTCAAAACGTCCGCTTTAAATATGTTGCCATGATTCACTACAATGTTTAGCTATTTGAATGGGAGTACTAATATTTGATATTTTTCTAGATTTGATCATGGTCACTTGGTTAAAATGGATGATATGGATGCATACAAACAATTATAACAGGAATTAAGTGTAAGAAACACTGTACTAATTTACTAGTAACAAATGTAACGTTCAAGTGTAGCGGAATTAAGTGTTGGCAAACTGAGATATGTCACCAAATGTGAAATATCTCGTAATTATTTAGGATCTCTGACTACATACATTTTATTCAATCGCAAGGATTTGAAATTTTTCTGTAGTATACATTTTTTTTTCTTATTATAGTGTATTGTTTTATTTTTGTATGTTTTTCTTTTTAATTTTTCACTAGAATTTTTTGAAAATTTTTCAATTTATTTAAAATAAAATTATTATCCAAATTTATCCTCTAGATACTTCGATTTTTTACAAATCATTGTGCAGTTTTGGTTTATTTAGCTTTTTAGACAAAGAAAAAATAGTTAACCAATTAGTGTCATTTCCTTTATCTTCTTTGTTGGTGTCACTTCCTTTTTCCTCATTATCATTGGAGTTAGCATTAAGGCGTTGAGCTGGTAAAGATGTAATAATTCTTTGTTGGATTTGTGATTTGATGATATCTATTTTTGTGTTTTTTTTTCTGCGGTCTCTCGTTATGACAAAATGTTGTTACCGCAAAGCTTCATTGGTAGCAAACTGCAGTGCGTGATTGGATATTTCAGGAGAAACCCAAAGTTGCTTAACCATGGCGTCATTTGAAACTCTAAACATGGTTGATTCAAATATTAATGATTGTAGATATTACAGTTATGATAATTTTATAACATATTTCATTTTATTATTATTTCTGAAACTTGGTTAAAGGACACTACATGTAAGCTAGTTAATATTGACTCCTACAATTTTGATTGCAAAAATAGAACGGGTGGTTTTAGAAGAGATGTAGGTATTTTTATTAGAAAAGACATTTCGTATGTAACTAATTTGATATCGATATTTGATCATGATGTTTCCGATATTTTAAGTATCAATGTTTTATGTAGCAATTTTAAGGCTACAATTTTAGCCATTAATTGACCTCCTGGTTCTTCCTTCGATGCTTTTTCAAGACATCCGGAATGCATTCTTGATAAGCTTAAACCTACAACGGATATTTACCTTATTGGTGACTTCAATATCGACCTATCTAAATGCACTTCTCAAACTATGGCAATTAATAATCTACTAGCAACTTATAATATTTACTCGACCATTGAACTCTCTACACTGGTCTCTACATCAGCCACTTTAATTGACCACATCTTTAGCAATAGTTCTTTACCACATACAGCTGGTGTTCTTTTATTTGATTTCTTGGATCATTATCCAATATGTTCATTCTTCAATAAAACAAATTCATTTCAGCCACCTGGTATTTTCGGTAATCATCATTTCACTCAACGCTAAAACTTTTGACAACAATAATAAAACATTATGCATGACCAACTGGGATGATGTACTTGGATCCGAAGATATTTGAGGTATTCTGTTTGTCTTTCTATAAACAGTTCAATTCTATAATCGCTAAATATGCTCTATTCAAAGTAATTAACAGCAACAAGTACAAAGAATGGATTACCAGGGACATTATAAGAGCTTTTAGAATCAAAAATAAATTATTTAAAAAATGCATTAAGAACTCCACACCATCTAATTTAAAGATATATAAATACCATCGTAATCGTCTCACTTGATGATAATATACCATTACTTATGGTCCCTTAAACCTTTATTTGCATAACCATTTAATGGAGAGGACTTTCAGTACTAAACTTTTGGGTTTAATTATATCAGATAATTTTTCTTGGGCTGAACATAATGATACTATTTTTTCTAAAATAAGCAAAACTTTAGGTCTTCTTTACAAAATAAGATACAAACTTAATAAAACTACTTTAATTTTGTGTACAAAGCATTTTTTCCACATTTGTCATATTGTAATCTTATCTGGGGCTATAGCCCTGCTGTTCATGTTTCTAAATTATAAGGCTTCAAAAAATTTTTTATAAAAATATTATTATATTTAGAATTTACTTTTCATGTTGATGAATATTTATCTTCTTTAGGTTTTCTTACAATATACAAATTACATAATTTTATTGTTGCCTTCTTCATGTTCAAATATGACATATGTCAATAATTTGCTACCTCATATATTTTTATCTCTACTTGTCACTCCATTCTGTATATAATAGCATTCAGAAGATTAAAATTTTTAAATGATAGCATATTTACTCTTGCTCCCAAAATTTGCTTTACAATTTTGCTTCTATCTGTTACAAATATCTCAAAACCTCGTCTCTTTAAACCTCGCCTCTTCGGGCGGCGTGATGGCTCAATGGTTTAAGGCGCCTGGTCTTGCTGCTGCAGTGACTGGGTTCGAATACAAAGAGATTCCTGCCCATCATATGCAATGTGTATGATGCGCGGTTTTCACTCGTATTTATACACGCTGTGTGTTGTCTGTCGTTGATACCTGTGAAGCAAGCGCATAAGAAAGAGTAACAATTAACCTTTTAGCTTTTAACATTGTAAAACTTATTTATTGTCTAATAATCGTCGATTTATGCAACCATAGATGTTTTTATTTGTTTAGTGTTATATTACTATAATAATATATTTTATAGTAGACTATTCTGTTTATATTTTATTTCAATTATATTTGTGTTTCTTTACTGAAATGCAATAGAATCCGCAATTCAAAATTTAAATTTGGACCACCAGATAGGATTTATAGGATTTACTAATCCGTTTTATCTCCGGATCATTTTCATTTCATTCTTGCAATTTAATTTTGCTTGAATTGATTTGTTTTTGATAAAAGATTAATTAATATGTATATGTAGGTTTATATGTGTGTGTATATGTATGTGTTTATGTATCTTGATACCATTGAATTTCTTTCTGTTTATACATTGGCAATAACTAATTTCATTGGTCGGTATTTTGAACTATGTGTCAATGTTTTTATGTTGATTCTATTCATTATATTTGTAATAATTTTTGTAACCTACGCGCCAGTTTATATTTAAAGACTTAAAGACTATTTGTTTTTTTTAATGTAATTGTCCTGTTTAACGACGGTCTATCATAAGCATTTTTTTTCTTTTTTGATCACCGTATCATTTTCATTTCTTACATTTGTTTGATTGGAGTTGATGAATAGATTGAATAAATAAACATGAATAATAATATACAATAAAATATATTATTATTGTAGTAATATAACACTATCGTTTTTCAGGACCAAAGATAAAATGCCACTTGTATCTGGCGGAAGAATACAAATTGATGAGAACGAGGATGAAAGTTTCATATTATCGATCGATAATGTGAATGAAGATGATTCAGGTTTGCATTTTCAGCATTTATTTAAACAATTTTATTGGCTTACGAAATTTCAACCACAAATATAAAAAACCATATAAATAAATAAACAGATCCATCAATCAAGCAAGCAACCAACTTGCTTAATATTTTTGCCACATCTTTTTCAATATTCCAGATGTAAACAGACTGAATTTTTTTTATTTATTTTTCATTTATTTAAATTTTACAACGGGTCTGCTCAATTTTATCTATTTGCATCATTTTTAAATTTTATTTATTTTAAAAGTTTCTAATAAACTTTGAGTTTACGAATGAGTTTAGTAAATTTTTCATGTTAGAAAAAATTTCAAAAATTGTTTGCGTGTTAGTTTGAATTTTGTTTAAAATTCAATAATCCAACCAAGCATTTATTTAGTAAATCGACAAATGTTATCAACTATTCACTAAAAAACCCGAAGCTTGTGACCAAGTTAGTAATATAAGTATATGATAACAATAAAGTAAAGTTATCAGCAAATAAAAAGAATTTCTAAATCTTTGATGAATTACCAATAAAGATACCAAAAAGCCGACGTCCTAGAATTGCGTACGGTTGCAAACGCGGATACAACTCGAATGCTAAAAACGATGAAAAAAAATCAAGTTCCACTACATGGATATTTATTGACATATTTTGTGTGCCAAGTGGATAAAGGCTAATCCTCGTAAGGATTTGATTCTGAGTAACTAATCAAAGATTTGTAAATATGGGAGGGATAATTCATCTCAGCTGTCTGAGCATACTTAATTTATTCATCGAGTTTTGCAGCTTGCAAAAAATTATACGGGTCAAAAGTATTGTGTTTGCTATCGATAGAACATTGAGGAAAGTTGCTAGAAAAGTAAGAATTAAATGTAGGCTTGACAATGCAGGTTACTGACATTTCGTTTTAATTCTATCAAACTGTTGAAAAAACTGTTTGTTAATAATCGATGAGGTATATGTTGCAAAACGAGTTGTAAACTTTGGATGTTAGATGTTTGAATTAATAAAAAATGGAGAGGTGACCAGCACGTTGTCCAAAATATTTTTAAATGTCGGCTAATCAACCAACTGTATGATAGAACGACATCTAAAAAACAGAAGTCAACGGCTCACAAAACAACTGAGATCTCGTCGTGTATTTAATGTTTTATCTGAAATAAAACCGTTTCCAATGCCATGGGAAAATTTTCAAAATTTTGTTTAAAAAACTATTGTGGATTTATTTTGTTGTTTTTAATTTTTATTAATTATTAATGAGATGGGTTTAGATGTTGAATAATTATTACACAGGATGTTATCAGTGTACTGTCAGCAACGAATTTGGTCAGTCAAACAGTCTTGCTGCACTTATTGTGAATGGTTAGTTTAATTTTGATGGCAAATGTAAATGTTTGTTATGAAATATATGTATGTATGTATGTATGAATGAAGAAAGTGGACACAAGCGCCTCATAAACTGAGCTGCCTCAAAAAGGTTCAGTAAAACATATAGCGACGTTCACTTGAAAGCAGGCTCCTTTAAACTTATCGACTGGAAAGAAAATTATTATTTAAATAGGTATGCGAAAAATTGTTCAGTAGAGAAAAGTTGTTATTGGATGAGAAAAATAGAAGCATTGAAAAAATACGCGATAAATCATATACTTGAAAAGATAAATTTTATTTTGAAATTATACATATTTTTTATATTATTTTTATAAGGCTCATCCAAGATCAAAACCTGATATTATTTTAATATGGACCTATTAACTACATTAAATCTATTTGTTTTAATTCAAATTATTAATGATTAACCTCTTTGTTTGATTATATATTTAAAAGATTGTTACGAGGAAGATATATAAAGTGCTTCCATACGGCTATCAATTGGAAGCTACTACCTACTTCTAGCCTCCACGTGGCGGGGATAGGTTTTGGTAAAAGAAGTGAGCGAGCCTAAAACTAGTGTTCTGTTCGGTTCCGAGATCAGGATGATCGTCACTTTCAAAAACAATCTATCCAGGAGTTGAAACTCTCTATACCATAGTATCCTCAGTTGTGCTATAGATACGGTTACACTACACTACACTACGATAAAGCTCTGAGTTAATTGAGGTCTTTGGTTACAGATCAGCACGTAGGCGGTCTGTGAGATGTACATTTCTCGTTTAGTGAAAGCTACGGTGCTACTCCAGACGACAAAGCAGCCTTATCTAAGGACGCACTACACTCCTCAAAATTGAAGGGGGGACTAGACCCTGCCATTTGAAATGTACGTACATTGCTGGACATTGGAATCGACAGGAGCATCGCACTGCCAATTTGGCACGTAAGCTGGCTCGCTTTAACATTGACGTTGTTGCACTTAACGAGATAAGATTCTTTGCATTTACTCATTTTTATTCTGCCGAGGTAAATCACCGGGAGGAATGCGAATGGATGGAGTTGGTTTTGCCATTCGAAACTCCCTCCTAAAGTCTGAAAGCAAAAATTATTGTGGTATTATTTTTCGACTGATGAAAATGCAGCTTAGCTTAGGGGCCAAATTGATCAGCTGCTGTGCACCCACGCTTGGGGCAACAAAAAAAGAAAAAGATTTGTTCTATGAATAGCTCAGTGAAGCTGTTGGTCTGACACCATATAAACATTAACTGTTTGTTTTGGATTGTTTCAATGCCAATATCAGCACTGACCAGATGTTGTAGCCAGTGTGCTCGATCACAAAGTAGTTGGAAAGGAAAACTCAAACGGAACTATGCTGACCGATTTCTGTACGAGCAAGATCTGGTGGTAACTAACATGATTTTTAAACAGTTCAACCAAAAGAAAATCTGCTGGAAACATCTACGTTCAAGTCACTGGTATCTTATCTACTACATCCTAACAAGGCAACGTGACCTTGTCTCACTCGTCTAACCAAGCTATTTTGAGGTTGCGGTAGTTGTGTTCAATCTGCGACGTGGTGCCCATAGTGATTGTTTTATGATCTAGATGCAGAAGCTAAAGATATGTTGGATAATATGCATAAAATTTATCCTGTTTGAATTAGCGACAAGAATAGTAACTTAAAATGGGCTCAAAATGCACAAGCACGCAACAAAGCAGAGAGGAGACTTCGCAAAATGAAAAAATCTTTGTAGGCGGCCAAAGCTGATGAACTACAGGCAGCAGCCAACAACAACGACATGAAATCATTATAGAAAAATTTAAAAGCGGTGTTTTCTCCGGGCAAATCAGGCAGTGTTTCTGAGTTTCTATATAAAATTATGAAACCAGATACATTGTCAGTTACAAATTGCAATGTCAATTTTTTGCTGTGAGATTCTGGAGCAGATGACTATCGTCAAATTCTTATATTCTGAACAGTTGATAATTTGCAGCTTCTTGAAACCTATACACCCTGGTTTGTTGATGGAACATTCAAAGTTGCATCTCAGCTATTTTTGCAAGTGTTTACAGTGCATGCAATACTGATCACAGTGTTTATTTATGTTCTCCTTCCGTCAAAACAAAAAAAGTAGATTACAGTTTTCAGAAAACTTTTTGAGCTAAAACCAACTCTTGCTCCACAAAGTGTTATGATGGCTTTTGAAAAAGCTAGTCAGAATGCAATAAGCACCGTATTTCCAACATGCAAACTAGTCGGTTGTTTATTCCACATTGGATAATGGCATAAAGTGCAAATAAAAAATCTCACTACTGCATATAGAAATAATAAAAAATACAATTATTTATAAAAAAGCTGCGAGCTTTTTTACTTGTTCCACCTGCGGATGTCATCACTGAATTTGAAGATCTAAGTGAAGCTTGCCCGATGTTGCTGAAAAAGTTTACAAATATTGGGATGATAATTATATAGGTCACAAAAAACAAAATTGCCGAATAACACTTTCAGTGACATTTTGGAATGTTTGGGATCGGTTGTAAGTAACCCTGCCACGACCAAATAACTCAGTTGAGGGATGGTTACATTACGTGCATTTCAGCATTCTGTTGATTGTCACCATCCAATGTTTAAAAGCTTATTGATCATTTCCTGAAAGAACAAGAATTTACCGAAAATAAAATTGTTCAATACAATGCAGGGGAACAAAAGAAAGCTGCCAGACAATCCAAATATCTCGAATTGAACAAACGTCTAACAAAAATATTACCAACTAATATTTAGCACAAATAAAAGTTTTACGTCACTTTGCATATAATTTGACTTTGAACTTTACATTTTTAAAACCACTTACAAATTTGTTTAATAAAGTAATAACGTTTATCGTTTGGTTAAAATATGTTTTAATCTTGTATTTTTAAAATTTTAATCTGAAAAACTAACTAAATCTAATGAATTTATTGATATTAGCGTTTGGAAAACTTATTTATTAAAAAAAAATTTTCATTCCCTTATTTTTTCAAAATTTTATCAACAATACTTTGTTGCGCTATTTTGTCGGCTTTTTGTTTTTACGCTATTTTGTCGGCACGGTTTTGTCGGCGTCATTTTGTTGGGTGCTATTTTGTCTGGCTTTCTTTTGTCGGTGAACCCTCAACAACAACTCATTTTATTCAGCTCCAGTGCTGCAAATGTCGGCTTCTAAATAAATGTCCAAAAGACCGTCCAGATAATTTTCAACCCTCCAAAAGATTTTGATAATAAGACTTCCCTCAAACATAATGGTAAAAACATCGAAAAAGTAGAGGATTTCAAATAATTGGGTTCTTATGTAAGAAGAACAGAAAAGGATCTAGATGCAAAAATTGCACAACATGGGTAGCCTTTGACAAAATAAAACCTATCTTGAAACCACTAAAACTTGACAAAGAGTTCAGACTACGCCTTTTCAACGCAGCGCGCATTTCAATTCTTCTATACGGCTGTGCATCGTAGACACTTGATGAAAACTAAAGACTAAAATGCACCTTTTCGTTCAAAAAATCTATGAAATTATGTTCGGTATTCAGCAATTCAAAGTACACATGACGAACAAAGATTCCTATGCGTTGGAAGAGCAGCAAAAAAATGAAAGATGATAAGTGATCGACAACCCAAATTCATCGGTCGCATCCTCCGAATGCCGAAAAATGAGGCCGCGAACATATATGCGCTCTACAAATTTGAAATCAAAACACCAAACCGTATAGGCAGACCGCGTTATTCTTACCTATACCAAATTTCAAAGATTTTAACTTTAAACAAAAAAGTCATGTTGGATTCTAAAATAATAACTTAGCTATTTAATAATAACTTGGTTGGAACAATTATATTTTTGCACTGAACAAGCCCGGTGAATGATGATATATAATAATAATAATGATGCCATTTATAAAGCGTTAATGCAAGCGACTGAGGCACCCTCGGAACAATAGTAATAAAAACAATATATGGGCATAAATAATATAACACAGCGTGCCAAATATTTGGCCAGTTCTGTTGATCAAAACTGTCTGATGTAACATATTTTTCTAATATGATGATTACAGGCTTTGCAATAGAAGTAATATGATTAGAGAAGTTAAGTTAAATTTATTATTGGGGACAACTCTGAGTGTATGTCAGTATTAACAAGTGTTATTGATGTTAGACCTTGCAACTTATTAATTGAATAGAACGAACCATGTGTGATTACCTCAGTTTTGCTTGTTTAATTGCAGAAACCATTTTTCCATGGCAGCAATCCACGTAGTGATGGCGTGCACGTTCACGTATCCAGTGAAATAAAGAGTTGTGTATCATCCGCATACTGATGGTAACATACGTTATAATTGCCAATAATCTTATGAATTGGTAAGATGTATACTGTAAAAAGTAGAGGACCAATAACTGAGCGTTGCGTAACTCCGTGATGTAGCTGAATTGCTGGCGTGCGTACTCAGATATTTTGACGAATTAAATGCTACTAGTCAGGTGGGATGAAAGCCAGTAGAGGGCAGATCCTTTAACACCAAAGTCAACATTTGGACGTTTTAACAGAATGTCATGGATGATTGTGTTGAAAGCTGCTGACATGTCAAGCCCAACAATATTTGTTACTTGTTCATTGTTGCAGTAGTTGGTAACCTGATCAAGTATGTGCAATAAAGCTGTTTCCGTGAAGTGACATGTACGATAGGCTGATTTAAGAGGCGTCTAAATAGAATGCAAAGAAATTTGCGGCTGCTATCCTTTTAGAGCCACCCGCACGATGCTTTTTGAGATGGTTGATAAATTTGAATATCAGTCTGTAGTTGGATACATCGGGCCTAGCAAGGTTCTGTTTTTTTTTATAAACCTAAAGACCTGCGCAGTCTTAAAGCTGTCAGGGAACTAATTACATGACAAAAGATTTGTAAGGATGGAGATGGCATTTGATAAGGTATCAATACAACTTATTAGCATTTGATGCAGAAATGTGTCTAATAGTGATGTTTTATTATATGACGATTTAATGATGCTTTTGATTTTATCAAGTGTTTCAGCATCATAAAACCCAAGTTTAAGTTAATTGCAGACTGTGATAGTATTTTGGTTTAGATCTGCACTGCTTGCAAAATTGTCATAATTAAGTTTAATTTTTTTGAAAGACTTTTATTTCCAACGGACATGTTTATTTAAGGATTGTATGACTATAGAGTTGAATTGTAAGCCAAACTGATCAACTGTAAAGTTTATCATATTCAAAGATTGAGTAGAAGAGTAAGTTGTCATTGAAATTGGACCAGTTAAAATTTTTAATATTTTTATATGTAACTTTATTAGAGGTTATATTGGGTTGAAAAGCATCGGTAGATGTAGTAATGAGGCTGTTGTCAAAATATGAAGTAAAATAAACGTTGTTTGCAGAAATGCTAGGATGGTATGATGATTGATTGTTGTTTCGATGTGATTAGAATTTCGAGGATGTTCTCCTTGTCATGAGTGGGATGAACAAACGTGTTAAAACTCATCGATGATCTACTGTAAATCAACATTGAAAGATACTTAAGGAGAAGAAGCGTTAAAATCACCGCACAAGTGAATCTATTATTATTTGTTGTGATAATTTTTTCTGTTAAATTACAAAATTTATGAAGAAACTTGGATGTTATCGGACCAAGCGGCCCGTAGACGACAAAAATGAACCGGATGTTGAGTTAAATGAAGTTTGACAACAAGTAGCTCGTAAATCGAAACTAGTTATTGAGTTTTTAATAATTTTGATGCACTCAATGTTGTCACGATGGATGACTGCACTGCCACCACCTTTTTTATCATTACATGTGCCTCCGTGCTGATGGGTAACTGAGAACCCAAGCAAAGCAATGTCTTGTTTGATAACGTCAAGATATTCAGATGTAATCCATGAGTTATTAGTTATCCATGAGTTATTATTATTATTAGGAAATTAGGAATTGGGAATTAGAGCCGCTTTGGGAGCTGCTGAACGAGTAATTAATAAATTAAAGCTTATGTGTTATAGACTCTTGATGGATGATTCTATTAATATTTATGAATTACGTTCAGATTTTAAGTCGCCAAATTTTCAACCTGAAGAGATTTGCCGACGCATCTGAGGACGAAACATTTGCAGCACGTAAAAACAGAAATTAAAAATTATTTGATGTTCATTAAAAATTATTTACTCGTCACAAAGAAAGTGATTAAAAATGTGGATAAATTGCTTAAAAGCTACGTTGAAATTACTTAAGTTATAAAATTATTAGAATTATTAGATAAAAATATTAAAACTAATTAAAAACTGTTAAAACTAATAAAAACCAATCAAAAAATTTTGTTCTGAGATAAAACGGACGCCATGTCGAAAACATGGGTGCGTTTCTGTATATAGTTAATGTATATATATATATATATATATATATATATATATATATATTTGCATTTTTATATATTTAATTTTTTATACATTTCAGTGAAACTTATGAACGAAGATCTATCGTCAGATGTTAATGAAAGATTAATGGAAGCGGAAGAAATCGCATCGGTACCTTCATTAGCAAACACAAGACTAACGCTTAATCTGACTGATGACAAACAAATCTTGTTAGCATGGGAACCGTTTTTATGTACAAAAGGAAAATTTCCTGATATAAAGTAACTAATATAAATCAGTTTCATCATTTCATTTTACTTCGTGCATGTTGTGTTTCAAAAGTATAATATATACGACTATGCATGGTGCGCTGCATTAAATTATTACTTGTTGTTTTAAATATATTTTTACTTTAATATGATTCGGAGGTCTCACAAACGAAAATGATTATAATTCTATAAATTTGTCGTTTAATAGATTTATAATAGAAAGAAAAGATCTTGACAGAATGGGTTCGTTCAGTGACTGGATTCAAATTCATAAAAATATTTCCGGAACAAGTTTTGTAATAAAGGAATTTGACCGTGAAAAAGATAGTTTATACAGGATAAAAGCTGAAAATAATTTTGGAATTTCCGATCCATCAATGTGTGTTACATTTTATGGAGAGCCAAGTATGAATGCGTCTTTAAATTTTGTTGTTTCATTGCACGATTTTTTTCTAAATTTTTTACGGTCTTATATATGCGTTAAAATTAAGATCCAACTAATTAATCAATAAATAATAATACATGTGTGTAAATTCAGGTAGTCAGAATGACCAAATTTTTCAAAAAAAGTTGGATCCAAGAAACGACAAACTTCCGCCAAAAACCCCGCGTGATAAACCAATGATAAAAGATTTTGAAAATAAACTTGAGTGAGTTTTTTTATCAATTTTTCTGATTGTTTCAAATTTAATTATCCAAAGAAAAACATGCTAGTTAATATTTTTGATTTTTAGAATATCATGGCATGCATCAGAATTTTCAGAAAATGCTATATCGACGGATGTTTATTATGTTGTTGAAAGGAGGTGTCCACCAAGTAGAAATTGGATTGAAATAGCAAATGATATCAAAGACACAAAGTATATTATGAATGAATATAGATCAGAAAAAGATTACATGTTTCGAATTCGAGCTGGAAATGAGTTTGGCGTCAGTGATCCCACATTGGCTGCTTCAGTTTTTGCTAAGCTTGGTAGATTTTGCACTTTGATAATAAATTTAAAATTTAGTTGGATAATCAAAATTAAATTATTGATATTTGTTTCTTATGTAAAAATTAAACTCAGATTTATCAAGTTTAAAAAAGTCTTCATCAACAAGCCACGATTTCAATGAGTTCAAATCAAAAGTAAAGCCTCGCACAATTTGGGATAGACCTGATATTGAAGCTGTTAAACCTGATTCATTTGTTCTAAAATGGAAAGCCAGTAGTGTTCCTCAGTATGCCGTTCAAACTGACATATGGTATGTCGTCGAACAAAGATGTCTTCCGACTGCTGATTGGACCACGGTGAAATTTTTTATAAACAATTTTTTCTTTTTCTTCTTTTTTATGATTAAAATGCATTTTGATTCATGATACAAAAAAATTGTTTATAAAAAAATTTCAATATGACAAATGAAAATATTTTATTGTAGAACAGTTAAAAAGTAAAGTTGTTTTATAATAAAGTTGTTTTTTACAGATAGCTTCCGACCTGAAAGATACACATTTCAAAGTGACTAAGTTTAGTCCACTAAAAGATTACTACTTTCGTGTAAGAGCAGTTAATGAATTCGGAATGGCCGAACCATCAATGCCTGTTATGTACAAAAAGAATGAAAGTTTGTTGTGTTAATATTAGTTTATATATTATCAGAGGTGATAGTTCGTTTAGAAAATTTTTATGATAAATTAATCAAAATAATTAAATAAATAATTTTAATAACAATTAAATAATTTTAAATAATTAATAAGGATAAATTATTTCAAGATTTTTCGGAAACTGTCACTGATTCAAAATGGGTGAAAAATGAAAAGTTCCTTAAAAATGAAGACGTTTCGGCAAAAAATATTCCGGAACATCTTAGTAATTTTTTAATGTTGTTTGTATGTTGTTTCGCATTTCAATGTTTTTTTTCATGGTTTTGTTTCAATGTACCCATGTTGTAAAGAAGTACAATCAAAAAAAGTTTTAAATTGAAGAAAAAAATTGATAAAATGGCCTTTGCAGGAAAGTTTGATAAATTTCATTAACTTTTTTCTAAAATCTTTAATGTATATTTAACAAAATAGTAGTTTTAAAATAATTATGTTTTAATTCTATAACCTAAATAAAATCTAAGAATAAAAATGACGTGATTGCAAAATTTTATTAATGTTATTTTGGTTTCCCAATATTTCAATAATGACCAGTAATGCTTTGAACATTATTTTGTGTCAGATAAAAATATATAAAAATTAACATTTGCTTTTGATTGTTTTGCTCAGGAGTAATTCCCGAAATTATTGGTGTAACAGATGAGGTTCAGTATGGCGTTGAAGGTTATTATTATTTTTTAAGTTATATCTATTAACTGAAGCTAATCATTAGTCGTTATTCTATGTAAATTAAATATTTATATTAAATATAATTTTGGTAAATTAATTAATTTAATAATTAATTAGTTTGTGATATATAGGGAGACTAATGAAGAGATAATTAATTAATTTCTAATATTTCAATAGGTCGTCCATCAAACATCACTTTCAAGGTGCGGGGTTATCCTGAACCATCAGCCACTTGGTATTTTAATAACATCAGGTTTGTTACGTTTTATTTGGCTCATCGAAGCAGTATTGTTGTTAAAATATTATATTACAGTATAGTATCTGAAATCTCTCAACAAAACATCGCTTCTAAATTTGACAGACTTTTTTGTCTCATTTTCTTCAAATAAATGCTCAAAAATCTTAAATAATGTTTTTCGGCACACCACAGCAACTTACAAAATGTTCTCTACTTTCTAACGTGTCATTTGATGGATCATATCTGTCTACATTAACCAATCTTAAACTGCTGAATGTTATTCTTGATTTCAAAGTTCACAATCACACTGCTGCTCTCATCAAAATATTCAACTACATAATTTGGTCAATTTACCACGTTAGACCTTTTCTCACGTTTGAAATGGCCTCCACGTTAGAACGCTACATTGCATCATCTCGCCTCGACTACAGCAACTCTCTGCGTACCTAATTTTTTTTATTTAGCTCATTCAAAAGAAACTAGCCACACTTGTTTAAGAATTACCTCGTCCTTGTTTGTTTTCTAGTTCATCATCTCCCGCAATCCTGAACTGGCTGCCGATTCATCAACGCGAATCAAATATAAAATTTTTGTCATCACATATAAAACAATCAACACATCTCAACCACCATATCTTTACAAACTCATTTGTCTTCGCTCATATGTTAATCACCTTTGTCTGTCTTCGTCATTGTAACTGCATCAGTCAACAAATCAGCTGTCGTCAATAAAGGCTTTTTATATTGCGGAACCCTACTTTTAGATTTACATTTTACATTTTAGTTTTACATTTTGGAACAAATGTATCAAGTTTACCAATTTTGTGAAAAAATTGTAATACATATAATTTTCACAAAAAAAATTAAACATTGAATCAACGTGAATAATTTAAAAACATTGAGCTTATTTGAAAAACAACTGCATTATTCGAAACAACTCTGCATTGATATATGAATTAAATGATTTTTTAATAAATGCAATCTACCAAATTTGTATTTGGTATAACTACTACATAATCATGTTATTTTACTGTGCACAAGAGATGGGAGTTATAAAAACAATCAAGAAAATTACTTACATTAATTACTTAGTACAATATGCTAAAATTATCATTATCAAAATGTTTTTTTAACAAAAAACAACTTGCATTCAAACTTGTCGAAATTATTTATCTTGACATTGACAAAACAACAGAATATAACGAAATCATTACCAACACATCAACAATAATATTTTAACGAAATAAGTGCTCTGAGTAAATTAATCAGATCAATACTGCAATTGACAAAATCGAGTGGTCGATCAGAGGTGTCTACTCAATTGTCAAACAACTTCTGGCAAACATGCCGGAAAATTTTTTCGCCAGCTACATTACTACCTCCGTTGTTTGATATTGAAAGGGGTAGCAACCGCTTTTAAAATGTAATTAAAGCGGATGATAGAAAAAATTTTACTAACCCCGATTGGATTCAACCTCTGCCAACACGAATCCGCCATCATACGAAAAAAAATCATCAATTATTCGTAAAATTAAATCAAAATGCTTTACCATGCCCACTAGATCAAATGTCAATCATAATATTTAAAAAATGTCCGATACTTAGAACATATTTGCATCTTCTGTTGTCAAAATGTTGAGTCTCGTCTACAATTCTAAATTGCTGGAGGAAAGCGTTAACAATTCTAATTACAATTCATTTTTTCATTAACTCATCATTAACATTTCACTACGTTCCAAATTTATTCTAATCGATGATAATGTTTTTATCATCGTACTCAAATTTAAAAATAATTTGATATATAAAAAAAAATTCAGAGTACTCGGTATTAATTTCAATAAACAACAAACTAACATCAGCATTGCCGACAATTTGGCAATTATTGCCCACAGTTCGGTAGGTGCTTAAAAATTGATTGATTTGAACTATGCATGGTGTAGATGGTCAAACATGCAGGTGAGAATAGATAAATGCAGCTCATATAAATTATTAAGCTTGCTGGGAATCACCTCAATTTTATACATCATACCACAGCAAAAGCTTCAAATTTTGAAGCATTTTATCCCTACGCAATTACAATTTGAATTGCGCAGCTAAAACTTTTCACCAACATGGATATCGTCTAGTTTAGATAGTTTAATAGTGGACAGAGCTAGGGAATGGCTTGCCATGCCAATCAGTGTCTGTGTATTTCAAATGCTTTTGCTACCAATGAAGTTTGGCAGTTACAACATCATGTCATTGAGAAAAACTGCAGAGAAAACAAAACTTAAAATTTGCAGCTATCTAAAAGACAGCATTAACGATGAAACTTAATGTTTATGGCGCGAAACAATTTTCATTTTTAACAAGCAGGACAGTTTGCTGTACGACCCAGGCTCATTGAAGCAGTCTCTTAAACGTCTCAAACAAAACGCATAAAATCTTGCCTCGATCATGTATTAGCATTGCAATCACAGAGGGTTATAATCAAATCAATTGGCGAACTAATTGCCTCCGCACAGACAACACGTTGGTAAAAAAATTACACAACGTATCAATTTGAGCACCCAAAATGGTATAGAAATACCGAAAAAAAGCCAAAACTTTTTTGCTCTATCATGGATAAAATAAACAACAGTTTTGGTTTTGAACTCAAGAAACTGATTAACTATTAGAAAAATTGAAAAGTTTAACAGGAAGTTAACTAAAGTTAACTAAAGCCGACCATGTTGTGAATTTCTTATATATTATTTTTATTATTTAATATGTAGGACAATATATATAGCGCCCATTCCATGTTCTCACAGGCGCTCTCAAAAAATCAAACTTAATTATATACGTGCAAACAAAATAAGTACAAAATCAAATTCAATGCAACTTTAACGAAAGTAAAAATGTCTTTAATTTTTTTAAATGATTGAAGATGAAGCCCAGGTTTTCTCAGTGATGCAGGGAGACTGTTCAACACAGTGGGACCGGCAATTGCAATATCACGTGATCCAATCTGTAACCTTGCCACTGGCACCCATAAGATATTCGTATCATCTGAACGAAGGCAGTAACTAGATGCTGTCCCTTTTCTGGTAAATTTATTGGTTATGTAATCTGGTGACATTCCGTTTAAAGCCTTGAACATGATCACACCAACTTTAAAAATTATCCTTTTATCAATTGTCAACCAGTGCAAATCATTCAAAATTGGCGTAACGTGGTCAAACTTCAGTTTACCAGCAACCAACTTTGCAGCTCTATTCTGAACCGATTGCAGGATAGCAATAGATTTATCAGGTGTTTTATATAAAAAACTGTTGCAGTAATCTAACCTAGATGTAACAAACGCATGCACCAAAGTTTCCAAGATTGATCTATCCAACCAGTGCTTAATTCTATATAAATTCCGGAGACAAGAGATGCATGAAACTGATATCATCTTTATATGATCCTTCATCAATAATCTACTATCAAGCAAAACTCCCAAATTGGTGGCAGCATGAATGAATGGTATGTTAACATCATTTACTATGATGGAATTTACATTTAATTTTACCAACTGCTGCCATGTGCCAACCGGAAGCAGCTGTGTCTTGCACTGATTGAGTCTCAATAAGTTTTATCACATCCATTTTCCAACCTTCGCTAAGCATTTGGCAAGTTTATCAACTTCAGCCTTGAAAAAACCAGGATGACCAGTCACCAAAATTTGAATATCATCCGCAAATGCATGGCAGGCAAATTCATGAGAATTGATAATTTTAAATACATCTGATGTATTTAATATAAACAGAATAGGTCCAAGAACAGATCCCTGAAGTACCCCTAATTTGACCATTTTAACATCAGACAGCACATTGAACAAGATCTGCTCTGTTCGATCCGTCAGATATGACTCAAACCACGAAAAAACAGTGTCATTCAATCTGTAATTGTACCGCAACATCTTCAAAAGTATACCATGGTTGACACAGTCGAACGCTGACGACATATCCAGGAACGACAGTAATGAAATTTTCTGAACATCCATTGTTGAAAACAAGTTTAATAAAATCTAACGTAACGCTGTCTCAATTTAGTGGAACCGTCTAAATGCTGACTTATAAATTGGCATCAAACTATTTACAGATAAATAGACTAGCAGACTCTTTATAACAACTCTCTCGACATCCTTTGATATGAACGAAAGATTTGATATTGGTCTATAATTTTTAACATCATTTACATCAGAGTTTGTTTTCTTCAAAATTGGAAGAGCCACGGCATGTTTGAAACTAACAGGAAATTTACCCACTTTCAAACAAAGGTTAGTAAAACTGGTGAAGAAGCAAATAAACAAATCTAAGTATTTTTTAAGGACATGTGTCGGTATGACATCAAGTGAGCTTGTTTTTGTTGGAGAACTGAGTATGACACTTTTTAACTCGTCTTCTGTAATCACAGGGAACGATGAAAACCAGCAATCATTTAGTGACCTACATCTCTCATTCAACGGAATGGAATTAACATCTGTTGTCTGAATAATCTGATCAATCTTGTCCGTGAAGAATTTCATAAACTGATGAGCATTTATTTTTATATCATAACTAGATAAATTTCGTCCTGAACCTCGTGATAGCATTTTGTTTACAATTTGCCATCTATTTCTGGACCTCTTGTTTAACTTTATTAAATTATTTCAATACTTTGTCAGAAAAAAAATAGTTTTTAATTTTTAGCGAGGTAATCCATTCATTTCTATTTATATCCGTTGAACATCTTCTTTACAATCATTCCATCTTTCTACAACATCGTTTGGCGCGCAAGCAGTCTTCATCAAACCATGGAGCCACCCGCTCACCTCTGTCAAGAATCACCCTTTTAGGCACCAGTCTGTCAATGTAATTTTTTAACTTATTATTGAAAATTTTTATCTCACCGTCAATATCATTGCTACGACAAGAACCAGACAGTGGAGAATTTAAAACTGCTTCAACAAATCTATTTTCATCAATCTTTTTCCATGATCTAACAAATTGTTTGGCTGTTATTCGACGTGGTTTAGCAATTACCGCCTTAATCGTTATTAGACTGTGATCAGAAAAAACTCCATGAGGAAAAACCGTAGTACTAATAATAGAAAAATCAGCGGAGCTAACAACCAGATCCTATGTTTCACGTTGACTCATTTATATGATTAACTAGTTGAAATACATCAAATATTTCAAATAAACGTATGGTGTTTTGATCATTTATTCTTTCAATATGCACTTTAATGTCGCCCATCAATAAAATAATTGCATTTAACATAGCTATATGCTCCAGAACTGAAACCAACTCTTCAAAAAACAAAACGGTTATTTGTGCTGAACCAGGCCTGTACACACCCAGAAGATGAATTGATTTTTATTGATTACTAATTTAATGGGGAGAGTTTCAAACGCTACAAATACAGATGGATCTAATTTTCTACAACTAAACTCTTCACAAAAATATATG